ACGAGATATTACACACACACAGGAGATATTACACACACAAGCACATGTATGCACACAGGAGATATTAAACACATATACACACGCATGCACGCACAAGAGAGAGAGAGAGACAGATTAATGAATAGTAACATTAACCTTACATAGTAAGCTTGAGAAGCGCTGGCTTACTTTACTGTAAGATTTCACAGACTTTAAAATGTGAGTGCGCATTGTCAGTCTTCAGGACTGGAATGCATTGCACACTTCCCATACTTTCTGGGATCCCTTTTTCACACAAATTCAGAAGGACTGGGCTCTGCGGCGTCCTCGATGAGAGTTCGTGCTCGTTGTCTACACTGTTCTCAGACTTTAGGGTCTGTGCCCCATACGGAGTCAGTCCGTATCATGGCACCCCAGGAAGAGGCATGCCTGTGCTCTTGTGGATCGATTTGACGGCTGTAGTGTGTGCGCACCCTCGAATAACAGACACCGTCTTCTTAGGGGAGGGCCCTCCTACACCTGTCCTGTCGCTAAGCCGTGCCAATGTTTTCCATGTGTTGCCAGTGCAATCTTCCCAAGATTCATTTCATAGCAGGCATGGTGGCCCATGCCTACCCATAGTGCTAGCACTCAAGAAGTTGAGGCAGGAGGATCAGGAGCTCAAGGTCAGCCTCGGGCTACAGAGCAAGACCCTGTCAGAAAAGAAAACGACGTGTGCTTTAGAAATCATTTCACAATGAAGCCATCGCATTCTTCCAAGCTGCCTCTTACATCTTCAGTTGTATTGTAGAAGCCAGAGTGGGTACTTGCCTTTCAGGAAAGCCCCACTGGCTCCGGGGTGGCTGACGGGAAGGTTTTTGGGACTACTCCTGAGGAAAATTATCAGTGGCGAGACTTCTTTTTCATCGAAGGAAGGCTGACTTGAGGGAGATTGGTAAACTGAGGCAGGAGGCAAGTACCGCATCCTGACCAGTCCAGCCCAGGCTAGAGTTCTTGTAAAGTGCCCTTCTACTGTGTGTTTTATGGTGGCTTCAATACGCTGACCTTTGGATCAGGGACCAGACTGACTGTGCGCCCACGTGAGTACGACTGTGCCCATGACCAGAGCGAGAAGATGTGATGACTAGTTAGTGTCATCCTTAGCAAACTTGGGGTGCACATAGCATCATTTCTTATTCCCACAGGCTCTTGTGGTGGCCTGAAGTGTTCCCAGTTCTCCCACTGAAGTCAGAGAGGTGCCAAGAGCAACTGAATAAATGAAAATCTGAACAGAATAATTTATAGGGAAGAAATTAAAAGAGTTGCAGATACTGGTGCTGAAGTGAAGCTGATAAGATGAGCACCAGATAACCTGAACATTCGGGGAAATTAGCTAAGTGCCCTTGGGGAGGAAGAGATGGGTTAATGGCGAACACAAATTCTCTTTTATTGCAGCAGGTAGTTAAACTCCTGGGTTAGCTAATGACTGTGGTAATGGGACACCAGTTCACGGAGACTTTTCTCAGAACTGAGTTGAATCCCAGAACCCTCACCCAAGGGTAAAAATGACTGAATGGCCAGTGTGCTCCATGTTGTAATAAGGGTAGAGCAGGAGATGGACAAGGAGGATGACGGGCCTGGATGAGTTCCAGCCCCACCCTCACGAGCTGTATTTAACAGTTTCCACTTTCAGAAACAAACTGATAGCACCACATCATAAGGTCGCCCGCACACAACAAGAAATTCTTCACCGGGAGAGTGTGTAATACATCCTTGGTGTGTTGTCATGGCCTTGCCTCTAAGGTTTATATTATTATAAAGAGAGGGCAACAGCTTCCTTGGTAAATAGAAGTTGTAAGAAACCAAGAACTTGAGGAAAGTTTAGGGTAGTGTCCTGAGACCCCGGTGGGCTCAGCCAGGTGGTGGTAGCGGCCCACGCCTTTAATCCCAGCGCTCAGGAGGCAGAGGCAGGTGGGTCTACAGAGTGAGTTCCAGGACAGCCTCCAAAGCCACACAGACAAACCCTTTCTCGAAAAAACAAAAATCAAACAAAAAGACTATGATTCTCCAACCTGAGGGACCAGAGCATCTTCCATCTACGAATGGGCAGGTCTCCTAAGCTTTTGTAAAGGTGTCACCTGCAGTGTGAATGCTGGAGGACTAAGTGGGAAATTAACATTCGGGAAAGGGACCCAAGTGGCGGTCATATCTGGTGAGTCATCCCAGGTGGCACCATTTCAACCCTGTAGGCCAGTGTCATTAATCCTTTCCCTGGGGATGGCCATTTTCCTAGGACAGGGTGAGGCTTACTGGGGGCATTGTACTAATTGTTTTACAGAGGTCTGCAAGAGGGGAAGGCATCACTATCAATCTTAAATATCTGTGTTTCTCTAGGTCAAACTCATTAAAAAATGACTTTAATCATCCAATGGACACTTTTAAATGCCTTCTAAGTAGCTATCATTCTTGATAATGTTAGGTGGAAAATAAGAAAGCCTAAGATAGATGTCTGATCTGTCCCCAAACAGCATAAAAACCACCAAAGCTTCGGAACTATTATACATTGAGCAACCTACAAACTATTTTAGTTCCACAACTGGTGGTGTAGATAAACGGATTCAGATGGGTTAAAGTCCTGGTAGAAGGTGCCCTAGACAGAGGCTGTTTCTGTGTTAGAAGATTTGTTGGGCCTTGACAGACTGATACAATTTTTAGGGGTAGGAGGCAGAATCCCAGCAACAAGAAGGAAGATCTGATCTTGGGATAAACAAGGTGCAGGCCTTTTGGCCTGTGCAGGCAAATTTGATAATAAAAATGGACTAAGAGAACAAAACAGAAAGGAGATACTAACCAGGCCAGGCGGTGGTGGCCCACCCTTTTAATCTTAGCACTCAGGAGGCAGAGGCAGGCAGATCTCTGTGAGTTCAAGGCCAGCGTATCTTCAGAGCAAGTTCCAAGACAACCAGGGCTACACAGAGAAACCTTGCCTTAAAGAAAAACAAAAAAAGAAAGGGAGGATGGAGGAAGGGAGAGAGAGAGAAAAGATGAAGGAAAGAAGGAAGGAAGAAAGGGAGGGAGGAAGGAAGGCTAGAACCTTCCAGAGAATACAGAAATTGGAACCAGGACCAGCCACAAGAAGTGAGAATCCAATTTAGAATGCAGTCTGCTGTGAAATGGGAGGGATCAGTTCTTTCCATGGGTAGCCAGGGACTCCTCTCTCCATCTTCATCGGACTCTAGGAGAGTTAATCCCAGTCTCTGAGGAAGGCAACCACCGGTTTCTCTGTAAGGGGGCACTAGGAGGGGTGTACCCGTAGATGTGTCGTCTTTCCCAAAAAGCCCGCGTGCTGTTTCCTGATGCCAAGCCTGAATGGGACCCACATCCGTGTTGCTAGCTCTGGTTTCTGGGTTCCCAGTGCTTAACGACAGGGCACAGATTTAGTGGCGAGGGTGTTTCCATCACTGCAGAGTCCCTGGGGACCTACAGCGCTAATACATTCAGACATGGCCTTCTGTATTCGTTTTGAATTGTGATGACAGGTTAGGATCTAGAAAGCTGAACTTGTAGTTGAAAAATTGATCCAGTCCTGCTAAAGTGACCTCCGATGCCATTCAGTGGTAAAATGTGTTTTTCTTATGAGGTAGGAATGGGATGTCTCTCACCACAGGGCTCTGAGAGACAGAACCCCAGAGACCTCCAATTAAAGGTGATTTGATCCTGGTTTTGGGGTGGGGTGGGAAGGTAAGGTGGCAGCAGATATCTATGGGGCTGGAATGAAAGGGGCTAAAAACTAGGAAGCTCGTGTGCTGCCACCTTCTCCGCTTGTCTGAAGGGGCTAAAGCCCCGCGTCTGACCAAGGCGCCCACCCAGCTGCGCATAGGCAGCACGGCGCTGTCCTGACTCAGCGTCCTAGAGCTAGGCCCGGCCCTGACTTCTCTGGTTCAGGATCCAGCTGGAAGTCTGCATTGCCAAGGCCACCCTGGTTGTCTCAGTGAGCAGACAGCATCACTCAGGTCTAAACTTCCAAGCACAGTGAAGAGCTGTGGGAGTGAGGAGGGCAGGAAGTTCCTGTCCCAGCCCTGCTGGAAACTCCCTAGGTGGGCTGTTGTGGTAAATCCTCCTGGCCTGCCCGCCTCTGCTTCCTCCTCTGAAGGTGGAAGGGTGGGGAAGCCAGTCATTGAGAGTCACATTAAACACAAAAGTAAAGACTTGTCTCAGCACTGAGGAAGGGCTTCCGGTAGCCCCCACCCCCCACCCCACTCCCGCTTCCTGGAAAGGACAGTGTGATTTATTTGCTCAGGAGAATGTTTTCATGGTGAAACCCAGGCAGTACTGTGTGTTTGATTTGGAGAAATAGTCATTTCTCAGCACAGCCTGGGTTGGAAAGGTGGGTGAGGCAACATATCCATTTTATAGGTAAAAGTTCTGAGCCTTCGGCCGCCTGTTGATCTAATCAAGGCTGTCAGTGGTAAATTATAGAGTCAAGGCTTGGATGTGGGTGTTTTTGGTTTGTTACTCAAAACATTTACCAAAGAGAGAAGTCTCCTGGCGATATGATAGATTTTCCAAGTTAGTGTCTAAATATCACAGGCCGGCATTTCCCACCTTGTCCAGCCTACTTGGGGGCGAGCACTCTCGATGAACAGCTTGGTGCTCTGGGCCCCTTTTCCTAAGCTTGTTTTCGTCCTGCCAGAGCAAAATTGTTGGCTAGACTTAACTGAGGTTTTGAAGATGCCATTAAGTCGGAGAATGGCAGATGGTTTGGTGGCCCCACCGTTCTGGTTTTCCAGACCTCGTGGAGAGCAACTACCAAGAGCTTGAGAGCTTGGCCAGGACTCAGGACTTGTGCCTGTCCCTAAGCCCGAGTCCATCACGAACTGCTGGTTTCTAAGGTCTCACTTCCGGAAGAAAGCCTGAGAGCGGTACCAGCCAACCCAGAGAGCTCTGCTCTTGCCGGTCACTGGCATCTGAGTTCTGGCCTAGGTTAGGGCACAAAAAGTAAAAAGGGAGCACCTTCTAACGTCGATCCTCTTGGCCTACAGATATACAGGACCCAAAGCCAGCTGTGTACCAGCTGAGAGACTCTAAGTTCAAGAACAGTAGCATCTGCCTGTTCACCGACTTCAGCTCTCAAGTCAATGTGACGAAGGGAGTGGCCCCTGACTTGTTCGTCTCCGACAAAACTGTGCTGGACATGAAGTCTATGGATTCCAAGAGCAACGCGGTCATTGTCTGGAGCAACCAAAACGGTTTCAACTGTAAAGACGCCTTCAAAGAGGAGGCCTCCCACCCCAGCTCAGGTGCGTGCTGCCCAAAGCTGTGTCCCAGTTTAGGAGAGGCCCAGCTCAAGTCTGTGCTGTCTAAAAGCTGCTTTGGGTCCTGTGCTCATCAGCTGTCAGCAAAATCCACATCCTGTTTGACCAGTAGCCTGTCCTAGCAGGCCACAAAGGCCCTGGCCCTAAAGCAGACAAGAGAGCATGGCACAGGGCATTGGCCCAGCCAGTGGTCTCCCGGGTTTGAGTTCACAGGCCTTCCTGTCCTTGTTGCAGTCACTGTCCTCCCAGGCAGTTTCCATGCCCTCCCTGCCCCCGGCTGCCTGGTTTCTGTCTGCTGAGAGTGTGTGGGTACAGTGACATGAGAATTCAGATGAGGGGCTGCCCCTAGGGAACACCATTCTAATCAAGGAAGACAGTCTCTCAGCAGAGGGACAAGCCAGTTATGTCGGGCTGTAATTGATGTAAGCATTAAGTTTCAGCTGAGGGAAGAACCACCTCAGAGAAGGGCTCTGAGGAAATGCTATCACACTACAACTAGAAAAGGAGGGATCAGCAATGCCTAAGCCAGAAAAGACCCTGTCAAAGCCCCAGGAAGGAGAATGCTGAGAACAAGGGAAAGTTGAGAGATGTAAATAAGGGCCAGATCACAAGTAGAGGCAGGAAGGTCAGAAGTTCAAAGTCATCCTCACCTACACAGCAAGTTCAAGGCCAACCTGGACCATCTGGGACCCTGTCTCCAAAAACCACTAAATACAATAAAATATAAGGCCGATTTCTGAGTGGAGGGTAGATTGTAGGTCCAGCAGAAGAAAGAGAATGCAGGAGAGAGACGATGGAAGCTCTACCAGGTGGTAGCAGGGACTCCAGTGGCCAACACTACTCGGGCTTCAAAGATAGAACCATCCAGAGATGAAAAGGCAATAGGGCATCAAGGGAAGCGGCAGCCTCTGAATCAGTGGGATCAGGTACTAAGTAAGAGACGACAAAGGAAAAAAACTGGGCATCAGAACTTTCTGCAATACATGAAAATATACAGCCCTCGTCACTGCGAATATGTCTCCAAGTCTTTACTGGTCTCTGGACTGAAACACAGCCAAGTCCAGGAGCTGGCTGTCTTGGCTTTGTGGTCATGGTACGCAGCATCCCCTCCGCAGAGCCAGTATTTGTCGAAAGAAAGAAAGGGTGCCCAGAAGTCCGGGTATTTGTCCTATCAGGACCTTTGTGCCATGAGGTGCCCCTGGGCGATATGTCCCCCTAGTTCTCTCCCAAAGCATCACAGAAGAGCCAGCACGCTTTAGATGCTAAGACGATTTCTTTTGTTTTTTTCCTTTTAGACGTTCCCTGCGATGCCAAGTTGATAGAGAAAAGCTTTGAAACAGGTAAGAGAAAGACCTGCCCCATTTTGCATGCAGTGAGCACATGATAACCTTCAGTGCATAGGGGTGGATCTGGGGACGGGAACAGCACTTCTGAACCTGCTCCCAGCTGCCCAGGGTCTGTCTTGAATCCCTCCAGCACGGCTCGCCTCATTCTCCAATCTAAGTCCTTAGCAAGGTGTGTCTTGTTTCACTAGGCCAGTGAGCCCTCCCAAGCCTCCTCCTGTGTAAGGCTAGCCAAAGAAAGCTGCCACTGTCCAGCCGTGAAGCGTGTGAGTCCCTTCAGAGCAGCCCTGAACTAACCATGTCACTCTGAGGACACTGTCCCTCTACATCTTGGAAAGATCCTTTCTAGAAAGGCAGTAGAACTTACACAGCCTAAGGCTCGTCTGGTCTCAGTGCCCCCTCATTACTGAGTCATCACCCCTATGGTTTCACTGAGGTGTGACACATGTTCCGAGCACCTCTACCCCAACCCCAACCCAAAGCCTACAGGGCCTCAGAATATTATATGGCCTAAGTCCTTTTGGTGGTTTTTCTCTTAAAAGACAGTGTTCTTGCCCTGGAGGAATGCACAAGTACCTTTGCCCTAGAATGTATGCAGAAGCTTAGAGACACGAATCCAGGAGCTGAAGTCACCCACACCCAGCCTACCCAGATCTTGGGAAAGTTCATAGGGCCTTGCTATGCAGACCTCTCGTGCACATACCCTTAACGGCTATGACCTCTTGGTTTCACAGATATGAACCTAAACTTCCAAAACCTGTCAGTGATGGGACTCCGCATCCTCCTCCTGAAAGTGGCCGGATTTAACCTGCTCATGACGCTGCGGCTGTGGTCCAGCTGAGGTAAGGAGGCATCAAAGCTTGGAGAAGGGTTAGGGTGGGGGGCTCAGGAGAAGACCCAGCCCTGAGAACAAATCCTCCCCCCACGGGAATCTGCCTTTAAATCCTAAAACTGAACCCTCAGAACTTTTCTATCTGTTCTTGTTACAAGCTGCTGTGACACCGGTGGCCTGAAGTGTGTGTCACAAATCATACCCCTTCAGCACCCTCAGCTGAGCCAACCCCTCCTAAGATAGCTGAGGAACAGCTCTGATTATTCTTATTTAGAAACGAAGAAAGTGAGGCCAAGTCGCATCAAGGGCACACAAAGGGGGAGAAAACTTACGACTCTGATGTGTATGTACCTCGTGCCTCTGCCCCTGCCCGTCAGTGTGGAAACCCTTTTCTTCTGTTCTTTCCCCTAGCAAGCTCTCAGTCCTTGAAGACGCCATATCTGTGATCCCTAAGCCTGGCTAGAGTTATCATGCTTCCACCCTGACGAGGTTCCCAGGCGCCTTGCACGGCCCCAAGCAGAGCCCTCCCCACAGCGCTCCTGAGTCCCAGTCCTGGTACCCAGCCTGACCTCTGCTCTTTCTCACTCCAGGCTGGCAAGACTGAAGGAGGCTGGACTCCCGAGACCCTTCCTCTTCACCACCCCTCATTTCCCTCTTCAAGCAAAAAGGAGCCCTCCCACCTCATAAAGAAGGCCAACTGGATCTCCTGAACCTGTGCCGGAGATTGCTGACGAGCTGCTACGCGCACCCAGGCTGCTCCCTTATGCTGCTGGCCATTCACAGGAAGCTGCGACTCCCCCTGGATATGCAGACCTACCCCCAATCTCACCATCACCTCCCACCCCACCCCACCCCCTGTAGATTCCCAGTAGAATCTCTTGGACTGCAGCTCCTGGAGAATGTTGTAAAGAACATGCTTTTGGTTTGCTTTTTAAAATCACACATCACTCTTTCCTCAAGATGTAGAAAACGCTATCTCATTGTCTAGCCCCTCCCTGCTACTGTGTGTATCTGAGCCCTGTTGTATATGGTCCTGCTGTCCATGACTTCATTAAAGACAACTCAGAAGAGAAACTGTGACCCTATGTGACTGGGTTTATTGGGGGCATTTTCACACAGCTCAACACCAGTCCAGCAGAGAGAAACCCAAGTCTGTGCTATCACCCTGCCCAGCCTCGTCTCAGAATGAACTCTTAAACATTCCACTGAGCCAAGGCCCAGAAAGGTTCCTTTACAAGATGCCTACTACGCCTCCGGCCACTCGTCATAACAGGCCAACAATAGGGGAGGGGGTGTCCCGACCTGTAGCTGAAATTTACCAGCCAACAATGACAAGTGCCCCCAACGTTGTCACCCACTGGCTCCTGCCCTCCAGGGACACGTTCTTTTTGCTTTCATGCTCAGATTGGCTTATTGCTGAAACTGTGTTGTACCCTACAAATCCAAGGCTGGGGTTTGACCAAGAGGAGTAGATGTCTTAAACTCTCACCCCCAGCATAAGTGAAAGTCCCTGGGGCCTCAGAGCTCCAGGCTCTCTGCCAAGCCTCTGCTGCCAGTCTTCCCTCAAGGGGGCGAATTCTGATAGGAATGCACTCCAGAGACCAATGAACAGCTGCCTGTTCAAGACCAAAAAGGAGCACTCACTAATTCCCAGGAGTCCCCCCCCCACCACCACCACCCAGTCCTTCCATGGTTCACCCATGTGTCTAAGACCATACCAGCTGCAAGTATGCAAATCCTCCTAGCCTAAGCCAGCCTGCTTCTCACAGAGACGGGGCTACCAGCTTCAACGGGTGGTCTAGGGCGCGCCCCTCCCTACTCTGAGCTTCAGGGTCACCGCCTGTGACGTGTCAGGTGGGATTGGAGGCTACCTATGGCAGAAAGTCCCTCCAGGAGCAACCACGGAATCCCATTGTTGCTAAACTGCCTCATCGCCACAGAAGCCTCTAAGGTTACTAAAGGCTCAGGGGACACCACCATGACAGGGCCACCCGCACACACATGGGAGGAGAGGCTCCCAGGCCTCTTCCCCAAGCCCCTTCCCGTCTGTCTGACACCGTGCCAGGAACTACCACTGGGAATTTCTTTTAATTAAACCATTCTCTTCCCTGTATTAAATGAAAATGCCCCTGGGAAGGTTAGGAGAGCAAGCCTTTATCAACCATAAAAAACTTAGGGCAAATTAGTTTGTCTTTTTTTCCCCCTCCTAAAGTGGTAATTCACTTTGTTCTACAAAAAGAAAAAAAAAAGATCCAGGCAAAGAAAGTGTGGGTGGTTGGGGACGTAGGAATGCTCCTGAAAATTGGCTACAGTTATGCAGAAGCTGAAGGGGACCTTGTGGCCATGTGGCAGACCCCTCCCCTAGACTTGAAAGAGGCCCAGGCCTCTGTTGGACCATACTAGCCCGGTGCCACCAGACAGCAACATCCAGAGGTCATTGAACCCATGGTTACCTGAGGACCAGAGTGAGGGATGAGTCAGGGGTGACCATCCACTCATACCCCTGGGAGCAAGGCTATGACAAGGCCCAGGCAGGCAGGCAGAAGAGCAGGGTCAACTTCACCCCCAGAGAAATGTCCATCCAATCAGAACAAGACCATCCCTCACAGCTGGGGCTGTCTCCACAGGGATTGAACACAGGTGTCGTGAGCAGTCAGCAACTCCTTCATGGCTGGTTCTAGGCCGGCCACTGCTTAGTCTAGAAGGAAGGGCTACTGAGGAACCCTGAAGACATAACGAAGACACAACGGTCACAAAACTGCCGCTGCGTCTTGGCCAGCCTGAAGCAACTCACAGAGGGAAGGCACCCATCCCCAGCCAGGGCCTGCTGTGAAATGGAGTCTAGACAAACGCCCTGCTCCCTCGAGGGCTGTAAAGACCAGCTCTGGTGGCAGAAAAACGGGCCCCTCCTGTCCCAAGACTGGAACTGTGTTTTGAAGCTTGCCCCAGAGACTTGCCCCACCTCCCCACACCCCCACTGGAGTCCCAGCTCAGGCGACAGGAAAGAGAGTGGACAGGCCGGGTCATGGGGCTTCAGGTCTCACCACTCAGGCAGCCACCTGACGCGGAGAGGGTTGCTTTGTCTCGTTTTAGTTTGGGGTACACCATAGGGTTCGACTCCCAAACCTCATGTGGAACCCTGACATCACTTTCTTCCCAGGAGACATGGGGGGGTGCTGCACCCGGCACCCGGCAGACACCAACGAATGAGCCACTGAGGGTCCCCACAAGTAGTCACTGGGAAGGGGACCGAGCCTGAGAGGGAAGAAAGGAGAAACCAAGCCAGTCACTGCTTCAGTTTTGCCGGGAATGGAGTAAGCCGGCAAAAGCTATGAGAATAATGAAACCTCTTGATGAGGGCACCCGGGCAAGCGCCCACTGCGCCCTGGAGGACAGTGCCTAGGAAAAGCAGGCTCCGGTTACACACACGACCACTGACACTGAGGGTCAAAGGTCGCTTGATGCTCGCTTCAGTTTTTCCTGTGACCCACACGACTCCCCCCAAACCTGCTCCCCTCGAGCAACACGTGGGAAGAAGGGCTTTGGGCTCACTTAGTACAAGGAGGGAATGGCTATGTCCCGTCCACCCTGCCCTGGGCAGGAAGTGAAGGCTGTTTCTGCAAGGGATGCTTCGAGAGGCCTGTAACACCCTACTCTCGCTAAAGCAGCTACCGGGGCAGTGGGAAGGACCACCAGCCCCGCCTCGTGTAAAGCCGCATGAGCGGCCAGTCCCGGGGGCTTTTCACACACACGTAGGGCACAGGACCCCATGCAGGAACCACGCAGACAGCTGCACCCTGAAATGGTTACCCAGTCGCCAAAAGTAGAACAGGAAATGGAAAAAGTTTCCCACTTCCCTCCAGGTGTTTGGGACTGAGTAGCCTCCTCCCGTTTCCGTGACGTCATGGTTGCTGACGGGGCAAACAGGGGACCCTTTGAAGCTCTCCCGCAGAACCACATCCTCTGGAAAGAAGAGTTAAAAATACAGGGTTGGAGATAGCATCTCTCCAGGCCACGTGCCCAGAAGAGGTAGGCCGGGCCGTTACACCGCAGCCCAACCACAGGTGCAAAAAGAAGGCCGCAAGGCACCCTGGGAGGGGCTCGCAGGCCCTGGTGCTAACACCCGTACCCAGCAACCGCTGCTTCTCCACTCTAGAAATCCCCCTCCCCTGCCCTCTGTTGTCCTCAAATCAGACCATTCTACACACGTAGTGTAAGGGAGAAAGCCTATGTCCAGCCCACCTTGCACGGGACAGGATGCGAAGGCTGCTGCATCTGCCCACACACACGGCTAAGGCCGGTTCCCCAATGGATACCTTCCGCAAGAAGCCCCGTACTCTCTTGTTCCCACTCCAGGCTGACACTTAAGTGTGGAGTGATGATAGCCCTGGTGGACAGACATCTGCCTTTCAGGGTCCATGGAAGTCACAGAACCTGAGACCTTCAGGCTTGGTGTGCCACTCTGTTGTAGTGTCCCAAGATGCCCACACGGGGGCAGCAGTACTCCACCAAAAAGGCTGCTGCTTCTCCCTTGGTCTGTTTCTTCTGGATAAGGAAAATGCCCACAGCCTAGGAAAAACTCTTTCCAAGGGAAAATAAAATGGCAGATGACTGCCGTTTCACAAGCCCCTGCCCTGTGCACTGGACTCCAGACTTGTGTGATCCTGCGCTCCACGAGGGTCTAGGGTCAGGCACTCAGGCAGCAGGGGGCACTGCCTGCCCAGGTTTGTGAGACCCACCTACAAGAGGAAGCCAGAGAGAAGCCACCCTGCCGGAAGCCAGGAGGGCACGGGCAGATGGACTATGGGAAGCTGGCTGGCGCAGAATCCATGGCTTCAGTCCGTGTAATCTGTGACGCCACAGCCTCAGTTTCCCACTTTGTACCAACATTCTCTCTTAGGTAGTTTAGGAACCAAGGCTTCCTTCACCCAGGGTGCCTGTTTCAGGGACTCTGTGACACCATACAGACGAAGCTGAAGAACAGGCCAAAGGGATAGCCCATGGCAGACACTCACCACACGCCGGCGTCCCGGGCTAGAGAGAAAGGAATGGTGGGAACGGGGCACACGGGTTTGGAACTCAGGGCTGCTGACCTGTGAGGGGCACACTGGGGTATCAAGCTGAAAACCTCAGTTTGCTGCGTTTCAGTGTGTATAAATGAACCTCCACCGAGCGCCTGAGGCCAAGGTCCAGGCAGGGTGTGAGTGTAAGAGACGTCAGCGGCTGTAATTTCATGGCTTCTGACTGGCACTCCTCAGGCAGGCAGGGGGCAGGGGGCAGGGGCCAGGGGGCAGGGGCCAGGCAGGGGGCAGGCAGAGCAGCGGTTGACCTCTAAGCTTCACTGTCCTACTGTCCTTCCCTAACCTTCTTTCCTGGGGCTTTTAACTTCTCTCTGTCTCAATTTTTCGTTATTCACTTGGAGACGGAAAGGCATGCCCACCTCCTCCTCACTGTTGTTGAAGGGACTGAGACATAATGGGTATGCTAATGCCTAGCGAACTGAAATCCGTGGCAGACATAAAGCAAGTGAGATGCCAGAGTGAGCAGAGGGATGGACCATACCCTGCACGCAAGATCGACTGTGTCTGGTCAAATGCACCCATGCTCCCCCATGCTGAGATAAAAGCGGGCTGCTACTTCAGAACCCAGCGTCCAGGTATGCTTGGGCTCATCAGGTCCCCACTTAGCGACGGCCGCTTCTCCCATTACTGTGACCCCAGCAGCTTCTCCCTGTCATGCACGTCTGTCACTCCTTCCATGGCTTCCAGGTTCCAGGAAGTCATGATGGAGAAATGTCAGGTCCACAGGCCCCCCCAGCACTCCCTGCCCCCCCATCACCGCATCACCCCCGAGCAGACACCGTTCTTCCCTCCTGGCACCTAGGGGCTTCCCTGGTTGTAGGACTCCGTGAGCCAGTAGCTGCCACCCACGTGTCTCTGAGTACCTCCCACAGGCAGGGTCTCTGAGCAGCATCCCCCCTCAGGCCAAGATGGCCCGCATCATCCCCAAGGGCTTCCCACATTTGAGAGAGGAGCCCAGGGTGCGGTTGCTTTGGGAGTGGGAACGTAACCCCC